GTGGTTTTGGTTACTGTAGCTACAAAGCAAGTCTTAAAAACCAGTGTACTGATTTATTCATTTTCAAAATTTCTCCTATTTTATTCTTTTTCAAAATTGTTTAAGCTGTTCCTTTTTTTCTCTGGCTTTCCATTTAAATTTTAGAAGAATCTTGTTTATATCTAAAAAAAAATCTTGCTGGGATTATGATGAAAACTGTCTTAAACGTACATAAAATTTGGGGAGCGTTGACACCTTTTCAATATTGAGTCTTCCAATCTCTTAACATAATATATTTCTCTATTTAAATTTTTATTCATTTCTTTCTTCAGCTTTATACAGTTTTCAGGACACAGTCTTGTACCTATTTTGTTACTTCTAAGTATTCTTCTGACTGATTATAAATAGCACTGTATCTTTAATTTTGGTGTCCACATGTTCAGTGCTAGCATGTATAAATAAAATTGAATTTTTTGTGTCTATTGTATATACTACACACTTGCTAACTTCAAGTATTAGCTCTAGGAGTTTTCTTATAGATTCCTTGGCATAACGTGTATAGATAATTGCACCATTTGCAAATAGATGGGATTTTATTTTTTTCCTTTCTGATCTGTATGCTTTTATTTCTTTTTCTTGGCTTATTATGCTGGCTAAGTCTTCTGGCACAGTTTTGAACAAAAGAGATGAAATCATACATAGCTTTCTGCCTGTTCTCAATCTAGGGGGGAGCATTCAATCTTCCCTCAATAAATATAATGATAGATATAGGTTCTTTTGTAGGTAATTACTGTCAAGTTGGAGAAGTTTTCAACCTCTGTTCATATTTTATTAAAAATTTTGTCATAATTTCATATTTAAATTAGTCAAATGTTTTTTCGTACATGGATTATTCCAATCCTGTGATTTTATTCTACAGCCTGTTACTATGGCAGATACACTGGTTGATTTTCAAACACTGAACTGAATATATATCCCATGAGTAAACCCTACTTGGTCTTGTTGAATAATTATTCATATATATTGCTTACTTTATTTTCTCTTATTTTGTTAAGGATTTTCACATCTGTATCTATGAGGGATTTTTTTTTTCTGTCCTTCCTTTGTCTATCATTGGGATCAGAGTATCTTAGCTTGGTCTGCTACAACAGAATGCCAATAGATTGGGTGGCTTAAACAACAACATTCACTTTCTTGCATTTCTAGAGGCTGGAAATCTATGTGAGGGTAAGGTATGGTCAAATTCTTGTGAAGACATTCCTCCTGACTTATAGATACCTGTCCTCTGGCTGTGTGCTCACATGGCCTTATCTTAGTGCCTGCATGTGGAGAAAGGAAAGGGAGAGGCTTTCTCTTTTGTCCTCTTCTTATAAGGCCACCAGTCCTGTTGGATTAGCATCCCATCCTTATGACTTCAGTTCAGTTCAGTCGCTCAGTCGTGTCTGAATCTTTGTGACCCCATGAACTGCAGCATGCCAGGCCTCCCAATCCATCACCAACTCTCGGAGCCCACCCAAACCCATGTCCATCGAATCGGTGATGCCATCCAACCATCTCATCCTCTGTCGTCCCCTTCTCCTCCTGCCCTCAATCTTTCCAAGCATCAAGGTCTTTTCCAATGAATCATCAGGTGGCCAAAGTATTGCAGTTTCAGCTTCAACATCAGTCCTTCCAATAAACTCCCAGGAATGATCTCCTTTAGGATGGACTGGTTGGATCTCCTTGCAGTCCAAGGGACTCTCAAGAGTCTTCTCCAACACCACAGTTCAAAAGCATCAATTCTTTNTTTCTGGAGCTCTCTTGCTTTTTCAGTGATCCAGCAGATATTGGCAATTTGATCTCTGGTTCCTCTGCCTTTTCTAAAACCAGCTTGAACATCTGGAAGTTCATGGTTCACATATCGCTGAAACCTGTCTTGGAGAATTTTGAGCATTACTTTACTAGTGTGTGAGATGAGTGCAATTGTGCGGTAGTTGGAGCATTCTTTGGGATTGCCTTTCTTTGGGATTGGAATGAAACTCACCTTTTCCAGACCTGTGGCCACTGCTGAGTTTTCCAAATTTGCTGACATATTGAGTGCAGCACTTTCACAGCATCATCTTTGAGAATTTGAAATAGCTCAACTGGAATTCCATCATCTCCACTAGCTTTGTTTGTAGTGATGCTTCCTAAGGCCCACTTGACTTCACATTCCAGGATACCTGGCTCTAGGTGAGTGATCACACCATTGTGATTATCTAGGTCGTGGAGATCTTTTTTGTACAGTTCTTCTGTGTATTCTTGCCACGTCTTCATAATATCTTTTGCTTCTGTTAGGTCCATACCATTTCTGTCCTTTATTGAGCCCATCTTTGCATGAAATGTTTCCTCGGTATCTCTAATTTTCTTGAAGAGATCACTAGTGTTTCCCATTCTATTGTTTTCCTCTATTTATTTGCATTGATGGCTGAAGAAGGCTTTCTTATCTCTCCTGGCTATTCTTTGGAAATCTGCATTCAAATGGGAATATCTTTCCTTTTCTCCTTTGCTTTTCACTTCTCTTCTTTTCACAGCTATTTGTAAGACCCCCTCAGACAGCCATTTTGCTCTTTTGCAGTTCTTTTTCTTGGGGATGGTCTTGATCCCTATCTCCTGTATAATGTCATGAACCCCCATGTATAGTTCATCAGGCACTGTATCAGATCTAGTCCCTTAAATCTGTTCCTCGCTTCCACTGTATAATCATAAGGAATTTGATTTATATCATACCTGAATGGTGTAGTAGTTTTCTCCACTTTCTTCAATTTAAGTCTGAATTTGGCAATAAGTTCATGACCTGAGCCACAGTCAGCTCCCGTCTTGTTTTTGCTACTGTGTAGAGCTTCTCCGTCTTTGGCTGCAAATCAGTCTGATTTCAGTGTTGACCATCTGGTGATGTCCATGTGCAGAGTCTTCTCTTGTGTTGTTGGAAGAGGGTGTTTGCTATGACCAGTGCCTTCTCTTGGCAAAACTCTATCAGCCTTTGCCCTGCTTCATTCTGTACTCCAAGGCCAAATTTGCCTGTTACTCCAGGTGTTTCCTGACTTCCTACTTTTTCATTCCAGTCCCCTGTAATGAAAAAGACATCTTTTTTGGGTATTAGTTCTAAAAAGTCTTGTAGGTCTTCATAGAACCATTCAACTTCAGCTTCTTCAGCATTACTGGTCAGGACATAGACTTGGATTATCATGATATTGAATGATTTCCTTGGAAATGAACAGAGATCATTCTGTCATTTTTGAGATTGCATCCAAGTACTGCCTTTTGGACTCTCTTGTTGACTATGATGGCTACTCCATTTCTTCTAAGGGATTCCTGCCCACAGTAGTAGATATAATGGTCATCTGAGTTAAAGTCACCCATTCTGGTCCATTTTAGTTAGAATCAGACATTGAATCTTAAGGCAGGTAAAATAATTCCTCTGTAAAAGCACCCAGGCCTAGACATTTCTTTTGAGGGAGTTTTAATAGTTACAGGGTTATTCACATTGATCTAGTTCATTGAGTAAGTTACAGTCCTGTATATGTTTAAAGAATGTAACCAGTTTCATTTTAGTTGTCAAATTTATGGCTATAGTTTTTATGGCATTTTTTTTTTTAATGTGAGTTTTCGAGTAAAATCTGCTATTTTATTATTGATATTACATATCTGTGTCTTATCTAATCCTGCCCATTTTTTTGGAGCAGGGCAGGTCATTTGTGCTGCATTTTATTTTCTGTTAATTTCTGTTAATTTTGTTTATCTTTTCCAAGAGGAGGCTTTGTTTCGTTGTTTCTCTGTTTTCATTTCCACTGATTTTGGTGTTTTTAATTTTTTGCCTTCTCATGGCTTTTTTTTTTTTTTAAACTATCCCTTTTCTAAGCTCTTGAGATGGGCACTTGGATTACAAATATGAGAATTTCCCTCTTTTTTGTGTGTGCTTTTAGTGCCATTCCTTCCCATCTTAGCACTGCTGATTTTGCTATCTAGGATTTTGTATTCTCATTCAGTTTAATGTATTTTTAAAAATTACCTTGGCACTTCTTTGATCCAGGGATTGTTTGGAAGTGTTCTGTTTAGCAGCTGGCAATTGTCCTTTCATTTTTCTCTTATTAGATGTGGTTTGATTCTGTAACTACAGTGGTTGTACTCAAGCATTTAATAACATAGGCTTCCTGGCAAGACAGAATTTCTCCTACTAGGAATGAATGTTCAAGTTAGTTTTTTTTTGAATCATAGGTTTGTGTTCAGACTGTACTAAACCATGCATCTGTAGAGAGACTGCTTAATTAGCAAGCTTTAGGTAAAATATAAACTGATGAAACATCTCTTTGGCCTTTTGAAAAGCTCTTCATTTGTAAAGTATTGTGCATATCATTATACTAGTTCCCTTCTTCAGAGTTCTTACATTATCATTGTTAAGATATCTAAATGTATCACAACTTAGTGATAGTTGAAACATATATCTTACAATCTAAAAAATCTCTCTTGAAAACAAAATATTAAAATCAATGCATTTGACCTCTGTTCAAGGCAATCATTGACTCTTATTCCTGATGCTGTGACTAGTATGTGTTTTGTTTTCAAGAGAAACTGATCTATTGTATGGAAATAGTAAAAGATAAGCATATTAATGATGAGATGTGACAATACACTGATCACTTAGAAAAATAAACTCAAAAGCACATGGAATGTTAATTTGTGTTGTAGGTATAAGGTTGAGTGCATTGTTTTAAGTTCCATGCATTATGTTTAGACAATGCCATATTGTACCTTTCCTTCAGGAAAGGATCTTTTCAAAAATTGTTTAAGTATGCAAGTTCTGGTACTGGGATGTACTTCATTTCCATGAACTGGCAACACCTGGTGTACGGATCATATAATTGTTCAAATAACAACAAATTATGTCAAATTATGTCAAATAAGTAGGCCATGGTGGAAAGAAGGATTGAGTGACTGCATCACATACGCTTCAATAACACGTTCATACTTTTTAACTGTATTCACGTCTTTTTGAAATTCAGGTTATCGGGATTTCAGCTGCCTTCCTCCATCGTCAGCAGCGGCTCCATCCTTACTCTCTGGTTCACGACAGACTTCGCCGTGAGTGCCCAGGGATTCAAAGCGCTGTATGAAGGTAAGATGCTTGCTATGCGCCACCTACTGTGCAGACGGCTTCACGCTGGACTGGAAGGTTGTTCACTCAAGCCAAAGTTGCTGCTTCAAAGGTGGTTTTAATGGTTCAAATGTTTGACTTCTGTGTTTTGATGCTGGGAGAATGCTATTTACTGTGATGGCTCAAATTTCTAGCACAACACGTGTGTTGACAATTTTCCTTTGTTGCTAGAGCTTTTTCATTGGAAGAATGGTTTTCTTTTGACACGTGGCATTGAAGTTTAGAGTATTTAGGATGCTAATTGGCAGTATTCCTTTTCTCCAATCTTAATGCAGACAAGCGTTCTTAAAATAATTGTTGGACAGTAGTAATATTCAGAGTTGGTGCCTAGGTAAAGTGAATTTTGGTGGTCAAATTTGAAACTTCGAATGAAGAAAGTGATTTCATTTGGTGCTTGCAAGTCATGGTGGGGGAGGTGTTTCTTTCTTTCTTTTTTTTTTTTTTTGGTGTTTTCAGATTTTGTGCTGAGGTGACTTTAGGGTCTCACTGTCATTGTTGACTGCTTTGGGCAGAAATTTCAAGAAGATAAAGGAGATTTTCAACCTTTGATAGAGGGAATAGTATACATGATTGCAAAATATTCAATTTTAGGAAAGTGCACTACTAATATGTTAAGTATAAGTGCCAAGGTCTGTTTAATCTTGTTTCACATAGATATTTTAATTTTTCTCTCAAGTGTAATACAGATTCTTTTATTTTTAACATAAACTCTGAAGCCCATGAATTGAAAAGGGCTATGTAGGGTAGGGGAGAAGGCAATGGCACCCCACTCCAGTACTCTTGCCTGGAAAATCCCATGGACGGAGGAGCCTGGTAGGCTGCAGTCCATGGGGTTGCTAAGAGTCGGACACAACTGAGCAACTTCACTTTCACTTTCACGCATTGGAGAAGGAAATGGCAACCCACTCCAGTGGTCTTGCCTGGAGAATCCCAGGGACAGGGGAGCCTGGTGGGCTGCTGTCTATGGGGTCACGCAGAGTCGGACACGACTGAAGTGACTTAGCAGCAGCAGCATGTACGGTAGGGGTAGGCCCAATCCAGCGTTCACTTAGTGAGCCTTCCTGGATTAAGTCACCTCTGTGTGTGTTCCTCTTTGCAGTATTCCATACACTTTGGCAAAATTCATTCTTCTTAAAAAGATAAAATCTACACATGCTTTTTGCAACTGAACTTAGCTACTATGCAATTATCAGAAAATACAAGGTTAGAATGTCCTCTTTGCAAAGGAATATAAACAGGGCAATTCACCCTTTTATTTAAGTAAAGTCTTATGTGGAATGATGCTTAGAATTTTATACTAACTCTGACTCCAGTTCTTCCAGGTCACTGCTTTTATATATAAACGTGCATCCGTTGCCTGAAAGAGTAACTCATCTTTAAGCTCATTACTGATTACCTGGGGATCATTTAATCTTTGGAAGAGTAACAGGCTAGTTCAAGGTTAATAGGTGCTACTAGCTTTCCGATTTGCTTGTATCTACCACTTCCTGTATACCCCAGCTTCACATAATTTCTTTCTCACTTGACATTACAAAAGTGTTTCTGAAGCAATCTGTACTAGCTACTGTGAAACGGAACTTGTCCAGTCAGCACATATGGTATTTCAGAAGGTGGGTAATGCTTCAACATTTTAGAAACCTTGGCAGTTTTCTTTCCCTTTCTGACAAAGTTGATCCTTAATACCATGTTTTGGTGAATTTTATAAGATAAGTGTTGCAGAAACTCTACTAATGCTGAATGACTGCCAAATGAATAATTAAACTGAATCTTTCTGGGCTGTTCGTGGTGGTGTTTGTGGTTGTCATCATGGCATGGTGAAAAATGATTGGTGAGATTGGCTTTGTTGGGAAAATGTTTATGAGTTATCAACAAAATTGGAAAAATGATGAGTAAAACAGAGCCATGAGTTAAATGCATTTTTTAAAATGTTGTGTGAAGATGTTTGAAATTTTTGTTTTCAATAGTTGCATTACAATATAGTCTGATATTTACAAGTAAATACAACTCATTATTTTGAAAGCAAAGCATTAAAATAAAAGTGCTTTGTTAGCAAAATAAAAATCATAAAATATGGAATATCTTTATTTGTAAAATATTTTTTATTAGCTTACAGATCAACTGATAAAATAAATTTGTGTTATCTGGTGAAATAAAGTTAATTGCAGTCTAAATAGAAGATTAAAGATGAGAATTTTTGCAGAAGAGACTAAAACTTTGTAAATATCAGCTGATTTATCAGTATCATTTCATACAGGAAATTTATACACAGCTATAACTTACCAATGTAATGGTGATGGGAAAAAGTGATAAAAGGGTATAAAATATTCAGATACACCTATTCAGATATAATATTAAGCATAACCAATGAGTCAGAAAATTATCTAAAGTTGTTTTGGAACTAGAACATCAAATCCCACTGGTTTTTATACTGACAACACTGTCTTCCAAGTAATTAATAAAAACCAAATAATACAATAAAATGTCTATGTCTTATCCAAGACCTCTAGGGAAATTTTGAATTAAAAATTTAATGCTAAATCAGCTTCAATTTTTTCTCTAGTTCTTAAATTATTACCAATTTTTCCAATTAAAGTAAGTATTTATTTAGTATTACCAGATTAATGTTTAATTTTTTATTTATATTTATCTGTTGAATTGGGAGAAAATCTTCCAAACTTAAAAAAAAATATCTGTCTACACAAGATAGGCTTAGTAATAGACTTAACCTGGACTTAATCTGGGCACTGGACTTTGTAGTTTGCTGACAGTACTATGCAATAAGTATTATTTACATAAATTGTTATTCATACATGGAGATATTAAGCTACCTAAGGAGTATGGAAACAGTAAATTAAATTATTCTAATTAGTGTGTTCAGTCATTGAATTTAACCTTGAAAATTAAATGGAGATATTTATACATGAAAATTAAATGGAGATATTTATACATGTCTCACTAGCATTATTGACCTTTTAGGTAGTGGGTAAGTTCATAGATTGTTGATGAAATCAACATATTTTAACCCATTAAGTACAGAATAATAAAATTGAAGCTACTACTTTAACAGGGTATTTTATAAAGTTATATTTCCTAGTTCTGTCACTGAACATTATTCTTCATGGCCAATCAAAGAATTTGCATGATTTTATTTGGTAAATTTATAAAAAATACATTGGGATTACACATAATTTACAGTGAGATGAATTACTATCAGTATTCCTATGCTTGTCCAATATTGAAGCCTTTGGTATATAAATAACATTCATTTTTTTCTACCTTCCAAGTTTTTTTCATCAAGATCTCAGTTACTGAAATAAATTATTTGTATCATTACATTTACTTATGACTTAAGAAAAAAATCTTCCAGGAGGTCAGAAACTTTACATGGCATGTCAAGACATGACAGATATCATGTCATGACAAATGTGTGACAAGACAGTCATGAGACTTAAGAACAAAGAGAACAAATCCATTTAGTGACATGTGACAATCTAGAATTGTGCTCCAAAGAACCTGTCACTCTGATGATTTTATTTGTTTCACTTTTTAAAAGGCAAGTCTTCTCTGTTCTAATATTTTGTCTTACTAGTGACAAAGTGAACTAAATATTGGAAACACTAGTGAATGTATGATGAAAATACTTTCACTCCCAGTTTTTGGTTCTTTAATTTATTTTTAAGTGACACTTCTCTCATTAATGCACATCCTGAATATCATTTCAGATGTTTCATGAATTACTTGGTAATTTTTCGTACATTAACTTCCAATAATTTTAGTATTGGTTATATTTAAAAATTTTATTTTTTTAATACTAATTATTTACTATGATTTAGATTGACTTTTAAGATATTTTTGCAGGTAAAATAAGTTTCTTTGACATTGTATTTTTATACTCTAGTATTTGTGTAAAAAGAATTTCTATATATTATACAAGCTGCATTTGAATAGAAAGCCCTAATTCTGTGATTCAAATTGAGTCCAATGTATACTCACTAAAATTAATACTTTTCTTCTGTAGAACATTTCTTGATAGTGTAGGGCAATTCTATTGATTGGAAACCAAATTGCCCAAGGCTTTATCCATGGGATGACTCATTTTTGTTTTTTTTTAAAATAAATTGGAACAGAAATTTTATGCACATTTTACCACAGGAATTACTTTGCTGTAATTGTCTGAGGTAAAAGGAAAGTTAAATTGGATTCCTGTCTAAGGCAAACCTGATAGAAGTGGTAAGAATCTATTTTCTTAAAAGATTTATTTAAAAATCTGGCTGACATGGTAGTTAAAAAGGGGAAAAAAATAACCACAATTGTACACAGTCAAATATTTTGTCTATAAAATACTAATTTTATACATTCAGCATTTATCTCACCTTCCCATGGTGCCATATTTGAATGTATTGGCCTTAAATGTTGTGCTTGAAATCTATAAGAATCTGACAGTTTAAATATCTTTCTAGAAAAAATACCACCAGCAGAGTGAGGAAGAATTTGACATTACTAAATTGCAAAGATTGGTTTGTATCATGAAACTGTATTGCATACAAACTAGCACATTAAATGGAGTGGAAAAAAACAGTTGCCGAAAAACATGCTTAAAGAAACTCCCTTGGGTTATAAAATTATATTCTAGAGAAATTCTGCTCTTTCAATTTTTTTTTGTCTTAAAATTATTCATTCTGTTGATTGTAACATTATGTCCACACTAAGGTATATGTTTCACTATGGATAGATAGTAAATAAGTGAATGATAGATAGGTAGATAGACGAAAGGGATAGATAAATAATCCATAGTTAAGACAGATGATAGGTTGGTAGATACATAATAAATAGGCAGACAGGTGGATGAACAGATGGATGAATAGATGCACCTAAAATGGTATAAATTCTTATATACATTTTCTTATTAAATCTTCAAGATTCCTATATGCACAGCAAAATTACCTAATATTACTGGACAG